TCGTTCCCTCCCGCCGTTTTCCCCCTTGGGCGGGCTTTGGCTCCGGGATTTGGGGATCGGTGTTGTGGGTGGAACGGGGCGGCTCTGGCGCACCAGGTCGGACGGGTCCCCCCCCCCCCCTCGGACATCGTCAAAGGCACAGCAGCGATGTGTCGAGCCTCTTTACCTCGTATAGTCGTCTCCTTTCCGCTTCCATTCCCGTAGACAGGAACCACCCAGCAGGAGACGAGAGCCGAGGAGAGAGAGAGAGGATAGACGAAGAGCAGCAGTGGTCGAAGGAATCCTGACATCCTCGTGCGAAAGTCTCCTTCGTTTGACAATCTTACAACTGCGAACACCGCGACTTACTTTGCCTCGCCGCCGCTCGTCGTCGTTCGGCAACCGCAAGCAGTTCCTTACTCAACTCATCCAAAGAAAGAAAAAGAACTCATCGTCCCCTTCCGGTCATCCCCTGTTCGCGTCGGTCTCCTTCCTCCTTCTGTCGCTCGTTCCCCTGCTCTCTGTAGAAAAATCCGAAAGGGTCAGAATGACCGACCCGTACGCATTCGCGGCGGGAAACGACACGCCTGCCAGATCGACGGGGACGGCCAACGGGGTCGGTGTCCATCATAACGCGCACAGGAGGCTCAACTTCACGCATCGCATCGTGCCTCAGTCTCTCGGAAAACCGATACCAACCGCTGACCTCGTCACCCGGCTCAAGGTGCGTTTGTGCGTAGCCGCTGCTGCTGGGTTTTTCCGGGGCTCGGAGCAGAACAGGAGAGAGTGTGAGGAGGGGGGCGGGGGGGCTGAGGGCGTTTTCGAATCGACGGAGGAACCCGGGATGTATCGCAAGATCCTGGCAAGACGCTCATCCCTTCTTTCGTTTCCCCGTTTAGAAACTCCATAACGACCTGGCCGAGATCGAGCAGGAAGAAGTCATCACGTCGTCCCTGAACGCCGTACAGAAGGATCTCCGGTCTCCGTACCTCCTTTCCCATCGGGACAAGGGCGTCAGGATCCTCACAGCGTGCTGCTTGGCCGAGATCCTGAGACTCTATGCTCCCGACGCTCCCTACAACCAGAAGCAGCTCAGGGTAAGGCATGTTCTATGTCTCAAGTTCCTCCGTGGCGGTTTGGACCCTGCCGCGCGAAACGCGCGGTTCTTCGTTCGGGCCGGAGTCGCGCCGAGCACCATGCATTTTTCATTTCTCCCTGGAAATTATCCTTGCACGTCCACCTTCTTCGGCTTCGTGCTGACATGATCCTATCCCGGAATAGGAGATCTTCGAGCTCTTCGCGAAGCAACTGCAGAGCATCAGCGACAAGGACGGTCCTTATTATCACAAGTACTTTGCACTCCTCGACAGCCTATCGACCGTCAAGAGCGTAGTGCTGGTCGCGGATCTGGACGCCGAGACCTTGGTGCTGGACTTTTTTCAGACGTTCTTCGATCTTCTCAAGTAAGTTCTCGATTCGACAGGAGTCCCCTCCTGTCATTCCCTCTGCACCTTTCCCTTGACACCTTCCCCGCACCCCTTCGTCTGTCCAGATTCGATCTGGCAAAACCTGTCACCATGGCGATGGTGGACATCCTCCAGCAGCTCGTGGACGAATGCCACCACTTACCCGCCGAAGTCATCGAGCTCATCCTCAAGTCCTTCGAGAAGCCCGACGAGCGACCGAACGCCTTCAAGATGGCCACGGATCTTTGCAATGCATGTCCTGAGAAACTCCAGCGATACGTTTGTCAGGTTAGTCTTGTGGGCCAAAGGCTATACTGCTGTTTCTCGCTTCTCACCGGTTTGTCTCTTGTCACAGCATTTCAGCGACGCGATCATCTCTGCTGGCGGCGGGTTCGAGGAAGATGAGGATGCTGAGGAAGCGTGGCGAGATGCCCACAGTCTCATCCTGGCCATCAACCGTGCATCTCCGGGAGTCTTGCTCAACGTCATTCCACTGCTGGATGAAGAGCTCAAGGTTGGCTGTTTCTTGGGGAAGAAGATGGACCTTTCGCGGATGTTTCTGTTGACACATGCGATTCTTTACTTCAATTCATTCAGGTAGAGGACACGAATGTGCGTACTCTCGCAACCAATGTCTTGGGCGAGATGTTCTCAGTTCCTGGATCGGTCCTGGCCAGGAATTTCACACACGTCTGGAAGTCCTGGTTGGGCCGTCGGATGGACAAGCAGTCCTCGGTCCGCATCGCCTGGCTCGATTGGGCTCTCCCTTGGATCCGAAATCATCCGGACCACGTGTCGGACATCGACGCGGCTCTGAGGGAGAAGTGCATGGACCCTGATGACAAGGTCCGTTCCGCCGCATTGAAGGTGATAGGCCAGCTGGACTCGGTCTCCCTACGGAAGGTGGATCGCGCTCTTCTATGGGAGGCAGGTGGTCGTCTCCGCGACAGAAAGGCGAACGTTCGAGAAGCAGCGGTGGAGGCCCTCGCGCAGGTATTCAATCTGAAGTACCCGGAGCTCGCCGATCCTGGATCCGGAGAGTTGGATGCCGTTGTCAAGTACGGATGGATACCGGGCGAGATCCTGGGGATGATCTACACGGACAACGCTGAGAGCAAGGTGCTCGTCGAGAAGGCTCTGTGCGACAGCATCTTTCCACCCAACGTGGACGATGTCGCCCGCACCGACCGTCTGCTCAGGATAGTGTCCCTCTGGACTCCCAAGCAGCACAACGCCTTCATCAACGTTCTGGACAGGCAGGCAGTCACGATGAAGGCTGTCACCGCCTTTCTGGAGCAGTGCGAGGCCTACAACGGTGGAATCATGAACAAGGATGGAGGTGAGATCGAACGTCTGCTCCTTTTCTGCATCAACTACATAGCTGCCAGGTTCCCGGAACCCAGAAAGGCAGCCACACAGCTGCAGAAGTTCGCAAAGGCGAATGACGGTCGGCTTTACAAGTTGATCCGCAACGTCATGGACTTGCAGACGGACTACAAGCCCATGATCAAGCACATCAAGGAGATCATCAAGCGGTTGGAGCAGCAGCAGGGTGTGATGGAGACATTCTCGATCCTCTTGAGGAGGATCAGCTTGACCATCGTACCGAAAAGCTCGGTTTCCATACTCCTCGACACCATCCAGGAATCGAGGCAATCCCAGGACGAGAACATCGTGAGGCTCGGCGAGACGGCGGAGAAGCTCCTGAAAGACATCTCGACCGTTTTCCCTGCGTTGTATCGAAGCAACCTGCCACAGTTCACCCAGCTGCTGCAGAGCTCGGACGATACCCTAGTTGCGGATTCGCTCGAGGCGCTTGCCAAGTTCGCGAGAGTCTACCCGGACGAAGCCCCGCAGGATGCTGCGTCCCGAGAGCGATTAACAAAGTTCGCTCTGGAAGGCACACCGGAACAAGCGAGGAATGCGGTCACGATTCTCGCTCACATGCGGGACGGGGCCTTGGAAGCTTGCACCGACATCATGGACGTCATCATGGAGACCTTGGCTTTCGGAACCGACGAGACCGCCGCACCCCAACACCTCGTCACGCACCTCGCGGCTCTCTCCCAGCTCGCTTTCGAGGCGCCAGCCGCGTTCGAACCCCATCACGTGACGGTCACTAACTTCATCGTCAAGCAGCTCCTTTTTGTGAATCGCATCAAAGCGGATTCAGAGAACGACGTGGATTGGATCCCTGCCTCTGAGCTCCACGAGGAAGCCCAGCTGAAGCTGACGGGCGTGAAGATCCTCGTGCAGCGTCTCGTCGCCCTCGCCGACAACAAGAAGCGGGAGCGCAGCGTAGGCGTCCGGACCGACCTGGATTCGAGCGCTCGACCCGTGTTGAAGCTCTTTCGAAGGCTTCTGGAGTTTGACGGCGAGCTGGCGGAGGCGCGGGATACTCCCGCGGCGGCAAAAACCGCTTTGCGGCTCAAGTGTGGTCTGTCGCTTCTGGAGCTGGCGAGGTGTCCGGTGTACGCTTCGATGATCAGTGTCGCTGATACGTACCAGCTTGCATTGCTAATGCAGGATCCAATTTATGAGGTATTCGTAGCTATCGCTTTACTCGTACGAGCAAGAAACTCATTCCTGTATCTCTAGGTCCGCAAAGCGTTCACCGAAAAGCTCATTACCTACTTGTCCGACACGGCGATTCCTTTTAACTACATGGTAATGCTCATGGTCGCAGCGCACGAACCCGACGTCGAACTCAAGACAAAAGTCAAGACGTTCCTGCAACGGCGAGCCACGCAACAACGCGCCGAGCAGACCACCACAACCATCAAAACCGACGAATCCTCAAAGACGGTCACGGTCCCCGTCACCACC